CAATTAAGAGCCTACCACCCAAAAAAAGCCCAGGTCCAGATGGGTTCACAAGCCAAGTTCTACCAGACATACAAAGAGGAGCTGGTACCACTCCTTCTGAAACTATTCCAGATAATCCAAAAAGAGGGAATCCTTCCCAAATCATTTTACGAGACAAACATCATCCTGATACCAAAACCCGGCAAAGACTCAACAAGAAAAGAAAACTTCAGGCCAATATCCATGATGAACATAGATGCAAAAATCTTCAATAAAACACTGGCAAGCCGATTGCAACAGCACATCAAAAAGCTTATCCACCATGATCAAGTAGAATTCATCCCAGGGATGCAAGGCTGGTTCAACATACCCAAGTCCATAAACGTAATTCACCACATAAACAGAACCAAAGACAAAAACCACATGATTATCTCAATTGAGGCAGAGAAGGCCTGCGACAAAATTCAACAGCCCTTTATGCTAAAAACCCTCAATAAACTAGGTATTGACAGAACGTATCTCAAAATAATAAAAGTTATTTACAACAAACCAACAGCCAATATCACACTGAATGGGCAAAAACTGGAAGCATTCCCTTTGAAATCTGGCACTAGACAAGGATGCCCTCTCTCACCACTCCTATTCAATATAGTACTAGAAGTTCTAGCCAGAGCAATCAGGCAAGAAAAAGAAATAAAGGGTATTCAAATTGGAAAGGAGGAAATCAAATTGTCTCTATTTGCAGATGACATGATTGCATATCTAGAAGACCCCATCGTCTCAGCCCAAAATCTCCTGAAACTGATAAACAAAATCAGCAAAGCCTCAGGATACAAAATCAACGTGCAAAAATCACAAGCATTCCTATACACCAGTAACAGACTTAAAGAGAGCCAAATGAAGAACGAACTGCCATTCACAACTGCTACAAAGAGAATAAAATACCTAGGAATACAACTAACAAGGAATGTAAAGGACCTCTTCAAGGAGAACTACAAGCCACTGCTCAACAAAATAAGAGAGGACACAAACAGATAGAGAAACATCCCATGTTCATGGTTAGGAAGAATCAACATTGTGAAAATGGCCATTCTGCCCAAAGTAATTTACAAATTCAATGCTATTCCCATCAAGCTACCATGACCTTCTTCACAGAACTGGAAAAACACACCTTAAACTTCATATGGAACCAAAAGAGAGCCTGCATAGCCAAGTCAATTCTAAGCAAAAAGAACAAAGCAGGAGGCATCACACTACTGGACTTCAAACTATACTACAAGGCTACAGTAATCAAAACAGCATGGTCCTAGTACCAAAACAGAGGTATAGACCAATGGAACAGAACAGAGGCCTCAGAGGAAACACAACATATCTACAACAATCCGATCTTTGAAAAACCTGACAAAAACAAGCAATGAGGAAAGGATTCCCTGTTTAATAAATGGTGTTGGGAAAACTCGCTAGCCACATGCAGAAAGCAGAAACTGGATCCCTTCCTGACACCTTACACTAAAATTAATTCCAGATGGATTAAAGACTTAAACATAAGACCTAACACCATAAAAACCCTAGAAGAAAATCCAGGCAAAACCATTCAGGACATAGGCGTAGGCAAGGACTTCATGACCAAAATGCCAAAAGCAATGGCAACAAAAGTCAAAATAGACAAATGGGACCTAATCAAACTCCACAGCTTCTGCACGGCAAAAGAAACAGTCAGTAGAGTGAATCGGCAACCAACAGAATGGGAAAAAATTTTTGCAGTCCACCCATCTGACAAGGGGCTGATATCCAGAATTTACAAAGAACTAAAACAGATCTACAAGAAAAAAACAAACAAGCCCATTCAAAAGTGGGCAAAGGATATAAACAGACACTTTACAAAAGAAGACATACAGGAGGCCAACAAACACAAGAAAAAATGCTCATCATCACTGGTCATTAGAGAAATGCAAATCAAAACTACATTGAGATACCATCTCACACCAGTTAGAATGGCAATCATTAAAAAATCAAGACAACAGATGCTGGAGAGGGTGTGGAGAAATAGTAACACTTTTACACTGTTGGTGGGAGTGTAAATTAATTTAACCACTGTGGAAGACAGTGTGGCGATCCCTCAAGGACCTAGAAATAGAAATCCCATTTGACCCAGCAATCCCATTACTGGGTATATATCCAAAGGATTATAAATCATTCTACTATAAGGACACATGCACACAAATGTTCATTGCAGCACTGTTTACAATAGCAAAGACCTGGAACCAACCCAAATGCCCATCAATGATAGACTGGACAGGGAAAATGTGGCACATATACACCATGGAATATTACGCAGCCATCAAAAGCGATGAGTTCGTGTCCTTTGTAGGGACATGGATGAACCTGGAAACCATCATTCTCAGCAAACTGACACAAGAGCAGAAAATCAAACACCGCATGTTCTCACTCATAGGCGGGTGCTGAACAATGAGAACACATGGACACAGGGAGGGGAGCACTACACACGGGGGTCCGTTGGGGGGAAATCGGGGAAGGACGGGGGGGTGGGGCGGTGGGGAGAGATAGCATGGGGAGAAATGACAGATATAGGTGAAGGGGAGGAAGGCAGCACATCACACTGCCACGTGTGTACCTATGCAACAATCTTGCATGTTCTTCACATGTACCCCAAAACCTAAAATGCAATTTAAAAAAAGAGAAAAATAAATAAATAAATAAATAAATTTAAGGAAATCTCTCAGAAAATAGAGCAAAGCAATGAGAAAGAAAATGGGACAGCTTGATAAAAAATTTAGGTAAGTAGTTCTGGAGGTCTAATATGCACATATTAGGAATACTAGAGAGACAGAACCGAGGAAACTGAGAAGAAAATTTCCTAAAGGAGAAGGACATGAGTTTCCAAAAAATTAGAGACAGCATCATAGAGACCCATGGAAGAAATTTCTTCATGACCCAGAGACAGAAATATTACACTTTCACTGATTGCTTCTCTCTTTACCTGAGGAGCTTTAGTCTCAAGGGAACTTAAAGCCAAATCTGCAGCCTACAGTAGTAAGCAAACAGGGAAGCAGGCCCAGCTACATTCCAACCACCCATGGCAAGAATTGTTTAACATCATCCTCTCCTTTATCTTTCACTTCACATCCTTTATCTTTTTTTTTTTTTTTTTCCTGAAATGGGAGTCTCCCTCTGTTTCCCAGGCTGGAGTGCAGTGGCACAATCTCAGCTTGATTTAAGTGATACTCATGCCTCAGCCTCTTGAATAGCTGGGATTAGAGGTGCCCACCACCATGCCAATTTTTTTTTTTTTTTTTTTTTTTTTGTATTTTTTAGTAGAGATGGGGTTTTGCCATGTCAGCCAAGGGCTGGTCTCAAACTCCTGACCTCAGATGATCCACCTGCCTTGGCCTCCCAAAGTGCTGAAATTACAGGCATGAGGTATCACACTTGGCCCTTCTTTACCTGTTTTTAAAAACCAGCTGAATTGTGGGCATTTTTAATAAGTCATTTCAAATTCTTTTTGGAACTGAGATGGGGTAACATAATAAATAAAACCCCACTCACTTAAAAACAACTGTATGCTAATTAATGTTTACTTACTAGTAGAAAAATATGGGCTGATGTAAATTTTTCTGCATAAAAATGAGAGCTGGGCAGGGCACAGTGACTCATGCCTATAATCCCAGCACTTTGGGAGGCCAAGTTGGGAAGATCACAAAGTCAGGAGTTTGAGACCAGCCTGACCAACATTGTGAAACCCCATCTCTACTAAAAACACAGAAATTAGCTGAGAATGATGGCACAGGCCTGTAATCCCAGCTACTCATGAGGCTGAAGCAGGAGAATCGCTTGAACCTGGGAGGTGGAAGTTTCAGTGAGCCAAGATTGTGCCACTGCACTTCAGCCTAGTTGACAAAGCGAGACTCCAAAAAAAAAAAAAAAAAAAAAAAAAGAGGGTTGATGCAGCCTCTCCATTAAAGCAACATACCAACAGCAGAGAAGGAAGCTCAAAACAGAGATAAATAACAGAGCCACTGATAACAGAATTCAAGGATATTAAAATGAAGCGTAAAATCAAGTTACACTAAACTCAATATGCTGTCCTAGAACAGAAAAAGGACATTAACGGAAAAACTAGTGCAATTTGAATACGCAGAGTTTAGTTAGCAGTATCATAGCAACAGTAATGTCTTAGTTTGACAAATATGCCATAGTTATAAAATGTTAACACCAGGGAAAGCTGGGTGAAGGGTATACGGAAACTCTCTGCACTATCATTCCAGCTCTTCTGTAAACCTAACAATATTCCCAAATAAGAAAAAAAAAAAAAAGGTTGCCTCACAAAGACAGAGGGAGAGAATATATTTGTCAAAACTCATCCAACTTTACAATGAAACTGTATGCAAATTATACCCCATAAAGTTGATAAGGCCAAAAATAAAAAATAAAAGCTAGTTGCAAAGTATAGAAACATGATGATACCATTTACGTAAACCTCAGTAACACCGAAAACAATCACATATATTGTTTCTACATGAATAGGAGTGGTACATGCCAAATTCAGGGCAGAAGTCACTTGGGAGGAGGGCCCAGGACTAGGGCAAGACAAGTGAGGCACTCACCTCCAGTACAAAACGTAGGGGGTTGCCAAGACACTCAGCAATCAAGAGAAATTAATGTAACAGTTTACAAATCAAAATGAAGGCACAAAAGGATCCATGATGAACCAGATATCGGAATTTAACCAGACAAGATCAGTACAGTGCCATGTCAAGCCATACTGGAGACTCGGGCAGGGAGGGGAAGACCTGAAGGAGAGACTTTACTTATAATGCCTTCGTTTCTAAAAATAGAGAGCTCGGAAACAAAAAAGAGCCAAAGGCTGGTGTCTCTATATTATCTTCTGTACTTTGTGTATTTTGTTTCCTAAGTTTTGTTGCAACAAAAAATTATGAAAACAATGCAAGGTGCTCCAAGGTTGGTAAATTATTTTAGCGGTTTTATAAAAGTCCCCTTACCTGAAAAGTGTGAATAGTTCTTGCCCATGCATGTTTTATGCGACAGTGTTTCATTAGTTTTCTAAAATCCACAGTTACCTCTAGGCCAGCCATATTATTAATGGTCAAAAATCTTCTCTTTCCAAAAGTTACATCAGTTACATCCTGTCACCAAAACAAAGAACTATTTTGCATACCTTCAAATATGTTCTATGTTCAAAGACATTCTATCTTTGGGTCAAACATAAAATGTAAGAATTACCATTAAGAATTTCAAAAGGTTTAAAATTTGCATTTCAGCACAAATACATTCAAAGAATATATCTATACCTATTTTAATAAACATAAATAGAAGTTTTTAGTCCTTGAAACTTATCTTCAGTTTGACTCTGTGAAGAACACTTTGTGTTATTTCTTATTTTGAAGTCTATACATTTCATTTCTTGTATTTTCTATGTAAGTGTGAATAGATTCTTTGCAAAGTTTACTTTTCCCCACAGCTATCTACACTATGAGAATAAATACAAGACAACCACTTTTATAGTTTCTACATTTAAACAGCAACAAGGAAATGATGACATTTTACATATATGTCTCATGTATGCCTTGTCACTCAAGTACTTCAACTTTATTAAAAATGCTTCTTCATAAAATCTTCTAGAATATGTAAGAAGCCCTTCACAACCTATTTTATGAGGCCAGCATTATTCTGATACTAAAGCCAGACAAGACATTACTAGAAAACTATCCATATCCTTCATAATCATTGATACAACAAATCCTAAACAAAAAATCATAAAACAAGAATGTCAACTCCGATATCATTAGATCCTGAATCAATCCTAGGACAATAAAGTGACCAAACATACCATTTAATTGGTTAAGCGGTATTATCTTCTGTTTTCACTTACATTTGTTATGAAAAACATTTCTCCATTGCATAGTCGAACATTACTTTCAAAGTCATGCTTATTTTTAGCAAAATCATGAAGTGTACCATTAAAGTCTTCACCACTGGTGTCTAGGTCATTATTTTGCTGACTTCCAGAGATATTTTCAGGGAGTAACTCTGAGAGGTATGCATTCCTGGTACAACAAATTTTATCACCAATTCTAAATACAAGTCTATTCTGATGGTCTCTGGGATAGAAAATGATAATATATAATCAAAGTTTGGAAAGTCTCCATTTCATTTGTTTAACATTAACTCCTACTCAGATTCAATCCAGTTCTCAGAATAATTTCCATATTTTCTTTATAACACTTTCATTCTCCAATGGGCAATAAGAAATCAGGCTCCCACAAGTTGTTGTCTGATTATTTACATATACTCTCTGCAACGCCTCAAATTCAATGACATTCCCCAGCCAAATTTATTCAGGTTAGATATTTTGGCCTAAATGCTGATGTCTCTCTTTCCTCTTATATTCTAAAAGTTACCACAAATCTTGATTTTTTTTTTTCTTTTAAAACTAATCCTCTCCTCTCCAATCTCTCTTATCACTACGCTATTTGAGGTCTTACAGCACTTATACATATTTTTACTATAATACTTATGACACTATATCAGTATAACAGCAGCAAACTGAGGAAGTGGTGGTGATACACCAGCCACTGTGCTAAGTGCTTTAGGTACATTATTTCATTTCATTCTTACTACAACTCTGTAAGGTAAATTCTGTGTACATACCTGCTTTTATAGATGTGGGAAAGGTAAGCAATCTGGCCCATCATCGCAGTTACTGGGACCCTGAGTATGTGGCCTCAAGTCCATGCTTTTTGGCCTCCTGTTGGGCTACCTGGCAGATTTTTGTGTATCTAACCTCAGCAGCCAGGCACTCCACCTGTACCTTAAACATATCTAGGATGTCTATACTCAGTAAAAAGCAGGTATTGGTCAATTCAAGAGAAATGAATTAATTTTTCCTATGTCCTAATGCAGTGGCTTGTCTACACTAATATTTCTCTGGTAGACATTCACTAAGTTGCTCTCTGCAGGCACCCTGTCACTAACCTTCTCAGAAACACTAGACACAAAATTTTTAAAATTCCCCTGAGCACCCAATGTTCACCATGGAGAAGCTGAAGGCTGCCAAGCTGGAAACCAAAAAGAAAATTTCACTAATTTTTCTTCTTATTCCCCTCATTACTAAAACATCAATTCCCAAGGATGTATTCATATATTGTATTTAATTGAAGAGATTGTCATATTTCACAAATGAGAAAAAAAAAACCTATTTTTAAATATGTAGAAATAAGTGACAAATGTCAAAGCAAATAAAACAACAGCAAATTGAATAAGGACTGTCCTTAAAAGTCTCAGTTCTCTTAGACACTCACTTGATGAGGTGGCCTGTGTAGTGTTTACAACAGCAGTCATTAATTAGATCACAGTCTTGCCTGAAACACATGAAAACACAGGAGTCACCATAATGGTATGTGCTACATGCTTATTTTTGTTACCAGCAATTATGACATACTAGAGTCTACACAAAGTTTCCAACACTTTCTTCAGGAAATACTATTTTTGTAACTTTATCTCAACATAAGCTTTTGTTCCATTCAAAGTCCCTATAAGTTTCTAAATATGGTATTTGGAGGCAAGAGCCTTGTTTAGAAAGTGCCCTCTGCCAGGTCTGCCACTGACATATTCCAAACTAAGAAACAGAAATTAACAGTAATGAAATATGGGACTCGACCATCCAAATAGGATCTACATTAATTAGTTATGAGATTCAAAAGCTAGATTAAAAACATTAAACTATTATACTTTACCTTCTAAATGCAATAAATTGTGATGTTTGTGCATTTTGTAAGTCATGTTCTTGTAGTAAAGCTTTAACTGTAGAATATAAATCTGACAATTAAAGAGAAAAAAGTTAACAGAAAATCACCAAACTATAACACAGTTTCTGTGAAGAAACTAATTTGGAGTTCCTGCTAAGGGGCCTGGGAAAATATCTCACCAAATGTAATACAAGTTTACCATGGGAATGTCAACCTCATTCCTCACATCGGCTAGGGCAATAAGAAAGAGAATAGAAAGGATTCAGACAGCATACCCTCAGCAGAGAGATCAACCCCTGGCCAAGACAGTTCCTCATTTGTAATACACTCACTGTGTATTTGCTGATAGTTTATGAACACTGAATTTAAGAAATGAACAAGAGTACAAAATGTGTAACAGCATGACTAATGTAAAACTTCCTAAGTCCTTGTGATCATATTAGCAATGAGTTAGAACTTGAGAATCTACAGGCTTTATATGTTATATCACTTAATACGCAGGACAGCCACATGAGGTAGGTGCTGTTATATTCACAGCTGATATTCAGCTGGCACATACGCGTATAAAACATAGTGATACTTCTGTATTAGCTGGAAAACAGCCACTCCCCTAATGCTCTACTCCCCACCCCAATCATCTCTTTCCTTCTCCCCAGACCTCTCCATGATCTAGCAACTAAAAGGTTAACCCTCGCATAGCAGGGGCATCCATTCCAATGGTGCTCATGCCCTACAGCTATTGGGTAGTCTGACTTCTGATGACATCTATATTATGAATGTGAAAACTAAGGCTCATGGAAATATAAGCATTTTCCCATGTGTGTTTCCCTAGTAGCAGATGAATCACAAGGGAATTTGCCCATGCCTTGTGATGTCCTGCTCTGGGAAGATAAACTTGGCTGCCTACTGAACCCTTCATTTTCCAGATGAAGGGAAGATTACCACTAGAAAAGGGCCAAGATTCAGCTCACCCTCAGCCAACCCCTGGCCACCAGAGCAGGAATTTCCAAAGGTCTCCCAGCATACTGTTCTTTTTTTTTTTTTTTTTTCTTTTTTTTTTTTGAGACAGAGTTTCACTCTTGTTACCCAGGCTGGAGTGCAATGGCGTGATCTCGGCTCACCGCAACCTCCGCCTCCTGGGTTCAGGCAATTCTCCTGCCCCAGCCTTCTGAGTAGGTGGGATTACAGGCACGTGCCACCATGCCCAGCTAATTTTTTGTATTTTTAGTAGAGACGGGGTTTCACCATGCTAACCAGGATGGTCTCGATCTCTCAACCTCGTGATCCACCCATCTTGGCCTCCCAAAGTGCTGGGATTACGGGCTTGAGCCACCGCGCCCGGCCCATACTGTTCTTTTTTACGTGTACAGGACAGCACTGTTCCATACCTTCCTTTTCTCACTTTCTCCACATCTCGCAGATCAATATATACAATGCATTTTACTGATTCTAAGATACACACTTTTCTCACATTTTAGCATCTCTTAAACTCTAGACCAAATAGGAATCCTGTCTTAGGTCTTAGTACTTTGTAATAATGGGCATAATTTACTTAATAACTTAATTATTAGTGAAAATATACTATATGCTTCTATAAGGAATATTTACTCTATTTCCTGGAAAAAGAGACTAATTTTCCAACAGAAGTTTTTAATTAAGTTAGAAAAATAGCATCAGGTAAGCTCTGCTACTAGTCTAAAATGGAAAACTATTTTTAAAATTACATTCTCATTAATGCAAGGAATGGGTACCAGAAAGAAAACCAACAATATTTTAGGTAGATTTAAGTGAAGTGGCAAAGAAGAGATCTACTAACTGTCTAAGTCTCATTTTCCTCATCTTAAATAGTACCTACTATTAACTAGGCTGCGAGAATAAATATTAGCTATTAATTATTTAACACATATTTCTAAGTACAAAACAATATACAGCTTATAAACCAATTTATGTAAAACTGAAATAAATAATATATGGCTTTAAAAAGGTTAAAAGGATAAACACCAAACTTTTACTATGTTGTGACCTTAATGGGATTGTCGGGAGAAGAGGAGAAAGGAAAATTAGGGAACATTAGTTCTTACTTCAAACATTATCGTATCATTGACTTTCTTTAAAAAGGAGTATAAATTGTTTCTCAAACCAATGGCCCCCGCAATCTAAAGGAATCTCACAACAAATTTAATCAGTCGCCAGTATTTAGTTAGGTCTACTTGATTCTTTGTACTCTGATGTTTGAAAATATACTTTTAAATTATCTGTTTCCCACACCAGAATGAAAGCACAATAACCTCAGGGATAATTTTTTTTTAATTTTTTTCCTCAGCTTAACTATTACATCTAGCATATAACAGGAGTTCAATAAATATTTGCTGAATGAAAAATAAAAAGAAAAAAATAGGTTCTACTATTTAAAACACACACACACATTATAGAACACTATGTATGATCCCATTTATTTAAATACATTGTTGTATCATGTGAATGATCACTAAGCCAAGAGACGTGAGATCGGGGACACAAAGGGGAAAAGGTTGACAGATAAAGCTGTATGTCATTAATTTGACATTCACAGTGAAAGTGGTTAAGTGGGAAGGATATACCTTTGAGAACAGTTGCAACTACAATAAGTCCTCAATAACAATCATTTAAACCTTTACTAATTTTGAAAAAATCATTACATCATTTTTAAAAGGTTCACTATGTGAGTTTATAATGCAAACAAAGATCAACAGATAGGTTCAACTGATTTAAATAAATTCACTTGCAACAGCTAATTAAATGACATCTACTAGTCACAACAAACTGACATTTATAGGGTGTCTCATAATTGATGAATGTCCTCAACCCTCATAATAGCTCCACAGGCAGTTCCACGATGGTTCCCATTTTATAAAGGGTTAAGTGACACGACACAGGTGATACACATGAGAAGACTTCCTGTCCCACACTCTTTCTCAACCCTGTCATGCTGTCGTCCTAACATCCATAATTAGAAGCCAAGCTTTTACCCATTTTATAAAGCAGAACTATTAGAAATTAAACTCGGCAACAGTTTGACAGTTATAATTTTTGTTTCAGAAACAAAATACAAATATTTGCTTTTATTAGCATTATTTGTATTCAAAATAAAAATATTTACTTTTCAAATTCCAAGGAAGAAAAAACTTCATTAATTAAGACTACTTTCTCCTAAATAAACCTGAATTATTGGGGCTTTGCTTTAAACGAAATCATCGATATCCATTTATTCCCTCAACAAAATTTACTGAGCATTTATGTGTTGAGAGCTTACTTCTTTACAAAATTCTAGAGTATTCTGCTTCTGATGATTAATAAGTTAGTTCATTTATTTACTTTTTGTTTTTCTTGAGACAGAGTCTTGCTCTGTTGCAAGGCTGCAGTGCAGTGGCACGATCTCAGCTCACTGCAACCTCTGTCTCCTGGGTTCAAGCGTCCCATCTCCTGCCTCAGCCTCCCGAGCAGCTGGGACTAGAGGGGTGCACCACCACACCCAGGTAATGTTTGTATTGTAGTAGAGACGGGTTTCACCATATTGGCCAGGATGGTCTCGATCTCTTGACTTTGTGATCCACCCACCTCGGCCTCCCAAAGTGCTGGGATTACAGGTGTGAGCCAACACTTCTGGCCTATTTATTTTCAATGTCTTATTTTTTGCTAGCAATATTTCTCTTTACCCAACAAAGAAAATTACAACTAGTCATTTAATAACTATGTTACAAAACTGAAATATTTATACTTAACCCTACATCTCATAGAAGTTTATACTTACAAGAGTGATGATTCGTTTTAGATAACTGAGAACTGGAATCCTCTTCTGGGAGCCTGACAAAAATAAATGTCTTATCTTGAATTGAGATGGGTAATGTTGGATTATCAGAGATATTTAGTTCTGCATCAAATTTTGGAAATTGACGTCTTGAGATTCTTGAATAAAGATAACACAAAGAACATTATCATTCAAAAATGTCTTCATGTATGAACAGAGCTAATGTCCTTATAATAATTAGTATCTATTAATAGATAATAGAGAGAAAAGCTCATCTAGGTATGCATTATAAATAGTAAATAAGTTTTATAATAAAAGACAATAAAGTTAGGATAGTACATGTTAGCAATCAGTCCTTAGCAAACTAAAAGGATCAGAAAAAAAATTATCAGAGGATTTACTAGGCACCATTCCGAAAACCTGGTCCATTTGTCTCCAGATCACAACAGAACCATGCAGGAAGGTATTACCCTTAGTTCACAGGTAAACAATGTGAGGTTTAGTCAAGTATAGTGGCTTGCCCAAGGCCACAAAAGCAGGAAACAGGAGAACTGGAAGGCAAACAGGCCCATTTGACCCCATATCCCTTTCTATTTAAATTATAAATTAATTTGAACTGGTTCAGGCCTTTCCACATGTTTACACTACATTATTCTCCTTTCTTCTCTGAATATTCTACATACAATCCCACTTTCCCAAATGAACCAAGTATCCACATCTAGTTGCTTCTATTCCTTCCTCATCCTTCTTTTATTCTTACATTTTCCCAGACTAGCAAATCATATCAGAAAACAGAATAAGGTACTGTTACTTGGAAGCAGACTGACTCTCCAAACAGACCTAACAGCAGCCTGGTTATCAGAGGTGGTGGTACCCTACTGTGTCTTCTCCAGCCTTTCCCAGACAAGAGTGGAAAGAAACAGAGAGGGAATGAGGCTGTTCTTGCTGGCAACAGCCCAGATTTAACTGGGACCTTAAAAATCATCATAGATTTCCCATTTAGCCTCTGACCCAAGGCATGTAGCACTTTTTATCTTCAGGAGTTTTCCCTGGTATATAGCAAGGATCCTTCACAGTCAGTAATATTTGAGGATGACGATTAAGACGAAATGATGAAAGGGGCACAGCCAGAACCAAATGATATTGAAAGAGTCACTAAAAAGAATTCCTGAGTTTCAGATAAAATTGAGTTCTGAGAAATCTAATATGCTAGATTCCTCCAAGTTTCTCAGACTTTAAAATGACCATTCATCTACCAAAAACGGGGTGGCCTTTAGAAAGATTACAGGAAAAGAATATTCCACATCCCACTCCATTAGTTTTCTTAATGTCTTAATACGAACCCACACTGTCTACCCTATTCCTGTCAATTCCTCCCCTACTCCCACCGTTCTGTCCAAGGTAGACAGAAGCTTAGAAAAAGTAGGTTTTGAATGTTCTAGTTCAAGCCTGTCTGGCCCACAGGCCAAATGTGGCTTTAAATGCAGCCCAACACAAATTCATAAACTTTCTTAAAACATTATGAGATTTTATATATATATATATATATATATATATATATATATATAAATATTTTGGAGACAGAGTCTCGCTCTGGCTGGAGTGCAATGGCACGATCTCAGCTCACTGCAACCTCCGCCTCCCGGGTTCAAGTGATTCTCCCGCCTCAGCCTCCAGAGTAGCTGGGATTGCAGGTGCCCACCACCACGCCTGGCTAATTTTGTTATTTTTAGTAGAGAAGGGGCTTCCCCAGGTTGGCCAGGCTGGTCTTGAACTCCTGACCTCAGGTGATCCACCTGCCTCAGCCTCCCAAAGTGCTGGGATTACAGGCATGAGCCACTGCACCCAGCCTATGATTTTTTTTTTTTTAAGCTTATCAGCTATTGTTAATGTTAGTGTATTTTATGTGTGGCCTAAGACAACACTTCTTCCAATGTGGCCCAGAGAAGCCAAAAGATTGGATACCCTTCTTCTAGTTTCTGCTACATCCAAACTGAAGAATGTTCAAGCAACAAAACATTTTGTTAAAAAAAGGGTAAAAACCAGAGATATATTTTGATCCAATGACTAACACAGACTCAGTATTCAAAGGTCCCACTATATCTAGAGATTTTAATACAGTCACATCAATGAATGGTAGGGATATGTTTTGAGAAATGCATCATTAGGCAATGTTCATCATTTTGTGAACACTATAGAGTGCACTTACACAAACCTAGAGGGTACAGCCTACTACACATCTAGGCTATATGGTACAGCCTATTGCTCCTAGGCTACAAACCTGCACGGCATGTTTTACTGTACTGAATGCGTAGCCAATTGTAATACAATGGTAAGTATGTGTATATGTAAACAGAGAAAAGGTCGAGTAAAAGTACAGTTTTATAATCTTATGGGACTACCGTCATAGATGCAGTCTGTTGCTGACCAAACATTATGTGGTACATGACTGTATTAAAATAAATAGCATGAAATAATAATGATTGTGATTTTTCACACTTATGGATTATGGAGAAACCAAATGTCTGAGCTGACAGAGGATAACTACAAAGATGAAGGGAAGAGAAGGGTTCTTTTCTATTTAAGGGAAGTAATACACCATGGGTGCCTCCAGGATTCATCTACGAGTGAAATACCACATTCAATTATTTCGCTTTCAGCTTTCTCCCACAAAAACTAGGGGGTATTTCTTCCCCAATTCTCCCTTGAATGTGAATGAAGTTATTTCCAAATCTCCATTCCCCTTGGGCTTATTCTAGTCCTTAAGCCTAACACAATTTTAATTCATATACACCCTTTTAAAATCAGGAAACCCCATCCATTTTTTTAATTTCAATAATAACTTATGCTGGACCAGTAATGAAAAACATTAACTGTGCTTTTCTAACAGTGGGGCAAAGGTTTATAGTTTAAGGATGGAAGAGTTTTGCTATAAGGGATAGTAAATGTATTTTACTAAATCATTCTAATTCAAAAGTCATTTTTTTAATTTCTAATACAACATACAGAAAATGCAAACTCTTAGTAATATTATACCTTGTAGCATTGTCCACAATTAGCTGAGATTCTGCTCTATGGTTTGTCTTTAGCTCAATAGCACAATTTCTTGACTGAAGAGTCTCAAAAAGATCTTTCAGCAAGTTACCAGGTTCAATACTGGGTAACTGTCTAATATCACCTAAAAGATAAAAAATATATATAGATAGATAGATACATGTTTTAGGTAACCAGGATGCTAAAATTTAGAAATTATTTTTATTTCTCTCCACTGATACATATCATAAAGACTTATTCTGAAAAAAAATACCCCCAAGATTATTTAAAATTATTTAAGAGTTTAAAGTTAAATATTTAACAAAAAATAACATTTAAACTAAACAGTATAAGATATAAAAATAGTAATAACACAATAAGGTAACAAAATCTAAATTGAACATCTTTCATACCTATAACCATAGGGAAACTGGGTAGAGGCATATGTTTTAGTCAACATATTAGGACAAGAAAATAGGCCTTAGACATTTGTAGTTAGTTCCTTTTTCAATCACATTCATTTGTCTTATTGAACATGAAAGAATCTATGGCCTCAAATACATAAAATAAATGTACACAATATAAAACAAACAAACTAAATGCATTTGATAACAGATACATTTCACTACTCTAATGATGATGTTCTGCTCTATTAAAAATCTTTTTTGCTTGCACCAAATAAGCCCTAAAATAAGAAAAACATGGGGGAAGCAGAGAGAAGACTTAAGCCATTAATAGAATCAACTGCTTAAAAGACATCCTCCAATACCTAAAAAAATAGTTTTTATATACAACATGATTCTCCAATTATGATTTTTTTTTTTCACCATTAAATCATATGATCTACTGAGCAAGACTACCCAATAGAATCTAACTGAATCTTAACAGAATTGGAAGGACCTAAGAGGCTGGTGAGGTCTAATTTGAGTTATTAGCTTAGAATCATAAAATTACTTTTAAGTGGTCTATAATTCAAATTTTTTATTATTTCCAAATGATCCCCGTCCTCATTTACTCTGAATCTGTGGCACTTTCACTATTTTAGCAGCCATCTTGTAGGTGATTAACAGTAACCCATCACAACCCTATTTCATTCACATCCCAGCCTGCTATTATCCTGGCCAAAACAAAACAACCCAAGCTGATTAGGAGAGTGGTCAGACTTAACTTAGTGTAGTTTTGCTATCAGTTCTGAAAAACAGTTTCACCTTTAGGAAATGGTGCGGTAAGATGGTGTAAACAACCAACTAACCACAATACTTGGAAATAAACACCAGAATTCTAACAATATTTTAACTTACCAAGGATAACAAGCTTAGAAAGTTTGGAGTGCTCACACAATAAATTTAAGACCGATTTGAAGATTCCTACAGATACCAAACTCCCTTCATCCACAACCAGAACTCTAACTGAAGAAAATTTCCATGGTTTGTCTGTGGTCATCATTTTCTGGTTCCATAAATAGAAGCTATAATTGACCTACAAGCAAAGTATGGCATTTCCAAAGTCAGGTTATCAAATCTATAAAACCAAAAATTAATAGCAAGTTATTTTAAGGAAAAACTCTTAAATTGGCAGGGGTAGATGGGAAGCAGAAAAACACAAAAAGTTATACAAATAAACATACAGAAAACACAGACCAAATAAATCTAAAAACAAAAAAAGGGTCAAATTGTTCCAAAATCTCAACACTTCCCTCATCGTTTTTAAACACAGAAAGCTCTCTATTCTTTTCCATTGCCAAATAAACCTTCCCATGGCCATCTGAGATATCCCACTGAAGCCCTCCTGTCTCCCAACCACATTACTCCATTCTGAAATAAAAGCAGTGATTTCTAAACCTAATTATGAAAATACTACTTTTTCTTTCAAGTACTCTAAACTTTCTCACCTCAACTTTTTTAAAAACTGCCACCAACCAACAAATAACAAAACTATTTATTACAAAAATAGTATTACTTATTTTTAAATACAGATGAGAAAAAAATTGGTTATAAAATTCCAACCAGAGAACATTCAATATTCTACTGTATATCATTCTACAAATGTTTCTATGTCATCAGTATGAGCACTTATAGGTTGAGTATCTTTGAAGTGCAAATTCAAAATCCAAAATGCTCCAAAATTTTTTTTTTGAGCACTGACATAATGCTCAAAGGAAACACTCATTGGAGCATTTCAGATTTTCAATCTGTATTATGTACAGATTTTCTAAATGGTATATCACATCTTCATCTAATTTTCCTACTGAAACTAGATTCAACATGTCTATTAAGTAAAGCCTTCATATTTCCTACCCAAATGCATCAATTTCCTTCAACAAAACCCCCTACGGTCGCAGTGGCCATGTCTCACGACATTCTAAATTAGCCATTTCTTTTCTCTTATTTAATATAGTCAATTAATTATCTTAGAAATGCTGCCATGTTCCACTGTATTTCTAGTGCCACTAGCTCAATACAGGCTCCATCTATCAGCACCTTGATGACTCCAATAGCTTTGCAGCCAGGTTCCCCTACACACAACCCCAGGATGGGACTATCCAATAAAATACAGGAAATCCAGTTAAATTTGAACTTCAAACACACAATAAACGACATTTTAATATGTGCAGGTCAATGAATCATTTGATACATACTTATACTAAAAAAATTATTCATATTTTTATCTGCCAAATCTGGCAACCCTAGTCATAGGATGATAAATGAAACTCCAGTGCTCTTTCTATGCTCTTGCACTCTCTCCTAAGCCTAAACATGGCTTCAGAAATGTTCTCTCAGCACCTCAAGTAGTTATTAAGAAACTATCAATTAATCAGTTAACACATAGGATCAAACTTAGCAATGACCCCTTTTGGTGTCCCCTTCGAATTCAGTCCTTCAGACTAATCAGACATAAAAACATAGTATAAAAAAAAAAAATCATAAACTGATCAAAAGATTCTTCCACAGATAAGCTACACTGAACCTCTCTAGGTCTCCATTCATTCATTTGATAAATAAAGATAATAGGCAAGATATGTTAAGTGGCTCATGGCTCTATGATTTAAAACTTCTTTATTTCAATCTCTTGCTTAGGAACCTAAATGGCCTCCTAGTAGATCAAGTTCAAGTTTCACTGTTAGGTGTGCAATATCTGTAAAAATGGCACCATGGAAAGAACAACAGGCTGGAAGGCCAGAAATCTCTGTTTCAAGTCCTAGTTCTACACCTAACCAAGATCCTGGGCAAGATGTTTAACATCCTCAAACTTCAACTAGCTCTTCTGTAAATGTGGAGATGATATCTCTTTATCAAGGATGTAATGAGTTAAGTCAAAATCCTTTACTAACTTTAAAGCTGGAATTCATTGTCTAACCCAAGTTTAATTTCCACCATTCTGTCAGATACAGGCTTCATTCCAATCAACGAAATCACCTCGACACCCTCTATACACACTATGATCATACTCCTCATTGCCTTTGCAAAGGTCTTTCCCCTAAGTCCAATGTCCTCCTCCTCACCTGAGCTTCCACGTCCCTTGGAGTCCAATTCAATGATTACCTTCTTCTGAAATCTTCCAACTACCAGGTTCCTTTAGCTATAAAATGGCAGGTCAGTGCTAGGGCTAGAGGAACCTCTCCAACTCTTTACAAGGCTAAACTCCATGATTCTTAATTATAGCCAATACTATTTTCTTCAAGAATTTTAATTTATTTGTAATTTTTACTATGTGACTACTGTTTGTCAGGCACTGTTCTAGGTGGAAGAAATAAAGAATTATACCAGATGAGCAAAGTCCTCACTTTCATCCTACAGAATATAAGTCTTTCACTTCCATTTCCAGTGCTGTTCAAAATATGGTCTCTGGACTGTGACATGTTTGTAACCAGTCCCCATGAGAAACAGATACTGTATCAGCATCTAAACTAACTATATCATTACGCCTACACTTTAGGGCAACTGATTTTTTTTTTGGTTTTTAGAGAGGGTCTTACTGTGTCACCCAGGCTAAAGTACAGTGGTGTAAACACGGCTCACTGCAGCCTCAACTTCACAGCTTCAAGCAATCCTCTCACCTCAGCCTCCTGAGTAGCTGGAACTACAAGTACATGCCACCATGCCCAGCTAGTTTTTTAATTTTTTGTAGAGATAGGGGTCTCACTATGTTGCCTGGGCAGGTCTCAAACTCCTGAGCTCAAGTGATCCTCCCACCTTGGCCTCCCAAAGGGCTGGGATGACAGGGAGGAGGAATCACTGTGCTGGACCTGACAGTTTTTTTCGTAAGACTTTCTCAATGAAGGAAGCAGTGCACTGATTTACTTCTACCATTAGCTCCTTTCTCATGCAAACTGGTAACAATTTACAGACTGGCTGCTTTAAAAAGCATTGATCTAAATGACCAGTTACTGCAAGGCACGGACCCAGAAGACATTCAAAATATTCCTACTGACTGCTTTTAAGAAGTAAGTTTATCTTCAAGACAAATGTTTTATCTACAGATAAAACGTCAAAGGTTTTACCTGACACAGTGTGTAGGCATGAAGACCAGTTTTCTGTCTCAGTAAGCCAGCTGCTTTCCCTGTAGGTGCTGTGAGCAAAACTTGTATATCCTTGCTTGCCTCTAGTTGACTTTGCTCAGTAAAGGTAATCCATTCTTCTGAAGAACTCTGGTCTTGTTCAAAATCTTCACAAGCACTTTTTACTTCTCTTTCTTCCAACTGCTCTATATGCTTAAAAAGATGGCTAACAATTGTGGTCTTCCCACATCCACCTTTCCCACTTATGACTGTCACAGGATTGGAGCAAATCATTTCCAAAGCAGCCACCTGATCCTGATCCAGCTGAACTTCAATCTGATCCTGATCCAGCTGAACTTCACATATTTCTGCATTAATTTCACTTTCACCATTATTCCAAATATAGTCAGCACTGTCCTGTGTGTCCACAGGATTTTCTAATCTTGCTTCATCAGGTTTGCTCTCATTCAATGCATCACCCCTTCTTGAATTCTCAGGTTCTGTGGTGTGAATAGAGGCAAGCACCTTTTTAACATCGACACATAAATGCCATGGAGGGCTCTTCATCAGGTCACAAATTGAAAAGGCAATGGCTCTTTCAGCCTGGTAAAGCTCGTAAGGGAAGACGCAGGCCTTCTCATATGTCACCACACCAATATCCTTCAAAAACTTCAGAGACTCCGAAGCATCAGGAAATGACATGTCACCTGACAAGGCCAAAGTTAAGTCATTTACTTCAACATATGTGTGCCCATGTTCTCTACACATCTGCTTCAGTTTTGAATATATTATTAATGCATTCTTCTCCAAATCAGCCATCAACTGGAGAAGAGGCTGGCACTGACAAAACGCTATCCAACTTGCCTCACATCGCAACAGGTTCCATTCTCTGTAGGTTATCTTTAAGAAAAAAAGTTCAGGTTGGTTTACAAACATCATAAGAGCTTACGAATACGTTCTTTATTAATAATTTTTGAAACCCCAGAAGACATGAACTTCAACTAAATTTGGAGAAAAATACTAGAGAACATCACTAATTTTTTTAATTGGCTGTACTGTAGAGATCTATATAATTTTTTAGTTAAAATTATATTGTATCAAACTAACACAAATACGGTTTTAAAAGTGAAATAATACCATAAGGCTTATCACAAAAAAATATGAATCCTTTCCTTATCCTTTCTCATGCCTTCTAAAGGCAACATCTCCAACACTTTAGTTATTTCTTCCAGAATTTACCTCCATAGTTCGAAGTACTATAGATATTTTTCCTTGATTTTTAAAAGATGTTAGATATTTATTATTAACTCCTTACTATGGCAAGTCTGTCTCTATGGAAGTTCATTCTGTTTTATACCATTACCTCCACAGGTGCTTCTTTGGTTCCTATATTTGAAAAATGTTGTAGTATACATTTTGTTAAATTTTGGTTAAATAGGTATTTATTATGCTTATGCAAATAGGATTCACAGCTGAGTGACAGATATACTCTGTTTTTTGTTGAACTCAGTGTGTATCATGAAGTTAACATCTGTCTCATATTCTTGGCTTGTTTAGCTTTCTACGTATACCTATCAATAATTCTGCCTAAATTCTACAGAAGAGATACAGAACTCCCTTCACTATAATCCACTGAGCACATCATCTATCGGCTCCATTTTTTATTAATGGACTCATCACTCCTGAGCTATCCATACCTTTAATGGGCTGAACTGTGTCCCCACAAAATTCATATTTTGATGTCCTAACCCACAGAATCCTCAGAATGTGACTATATTTGGAAACAGGGTTTCAAAGAAGTAATTAAGGTTAAATGAGACCATGCACCTCATTGAGGTCCTCTGGATGGGCCCTACTTAATATGACTTGTATTCTTACAAGAAGAGATTAGGACACAGAATGGCAAAGAAGGAAGACCACGTGAAGACACAGAGAGACAATGACCATCTAAAAGCCAAGGAGAGAAGCCTCAGAAGAAATCAATCCTGTCCACACTTTGATCTCAGACTTGTAGCTCCAGAACTGTAAGACAATAAATTTCTGTTGTGTAGGCTATCCGGTCAGCAGTACTTGTTCTGGAAGCCCCAGCAAACTAATACAATACTTGGATAGTGGTTTACAGGCTGAATGGTGGGAAGTCAAGCCTCCTTTTCCCACGAGTCCCAGAATGCTGCAACCAGGCTTAAACTCTCCATGTAGATTCTTCTCTGAGAAGAGTGACTACACAGGAGAAAACACTTCCAGATCCTGACACAGCGGGGAGGGAGGAGAGTGTTCCCTAATGAAAAACCTGAGTCACCACCAGATAATCTCTGCCTTATCCTCCCCTGGTATCCCCAAGCCTAGAAACTCTCAGTTGAAAGGCATCAGGCAAGAAGAACCTCTATCCTCTTGCTGGGGTGGGAAGCAGTAATCACTTAATGCCCACACTGGGGAGAGAATCTGGGACTTCAACAGCTTCTTAAACAGGGGTTCACGAGAGAGATCCAAGATAGCTGATTACTAGCAGCTCAGGATTGTAGCTCCCAGTGAAAGCGCAGAGAACGAGAGGACGCCACATTTTCAGATGAATTTTTGTTGCTCACAGACCAGGAGATTCCCAGGAGAGGAGCCCCACAGGGCGCCAGCTTTTTCTGGCCGGCGCGGCGGTTCTTGGTGCAGAGTAAATGGGACTGGGTCCCCTTTTGGTCAACGTCTGGAGCTCCGGGAAGGCAGAGTCGCCTATTCAGCTGATTGAAAAAGGGACTCAAGAAGGAAGCCAGACCGGAGATTCTCGGGCAGAAAAGCACCATGAATCTTAACACCGCTGTTTTGGCCAGCGCACTGGGTTGCTCAGATTCCGGCGCTGGGAATCAACAAGTTGGACATCCACTGAGAGACCTGATTTGAAAGTCGGTAATTACAAAGACAACAGGTGGATACATTTACAGTGATGGGAAGAAACCAGCGCAAAAAGGCTGAGAATACCCAAAATCAGAATGCCTCTCCCTCACAGGGGATCACAGTTCCTCATCAACAAGGGAACAAGGCCTGATGGAGAACAAGTGCGTTCCCTTAACAGATTTAGGCTTCAGAAGGTGGATAAGAAACTTCTGTGAGTTAAAAGAACACATTCTAGCCCAATGTAAAGAAACTAAGAACCTTGAAAAAGGGTTTGACGAAATCCTAACGAGAATAGACAATCTAGAGAGGAATATAAGTGAATTAATTGAACTGAAGAATACAATACGAGAACTCCACGAAGTATGCACAGGTTTTAACAGTAGAATTGATCAAGCAGAAGAAAGGATATCAGAGGTCGAAGACCAACTTAATGTACTGAAACGAGAAGACAAGATTAGAGGAGAAAGAGTAAAAAGGAATGAGCAAAGTCTCCAAGAAATATGGGACTATGTGAAAAGACCTAATTTACGTTTGATAGGTGCACCTGAATGTCATGAAGAGAATGAATCCAAGCTGGAAAATATTCTTCAGGATATTATCCTGGAAAACTTTCCTAACCTAGTAAGGCAGGAAAATACTCAACTTCAGGTAATACAGAGACCACCACAAAGACATTCCTCAATTAGAGCAACCCCAAGACACATAATTGTTAGATTCACCAGGGTTGAAATAAAAGAGAAAATTCTAAGGGCGGCTAGAGAGAAAGGTCAGGTTACCCATAAAGGGAAGCCCATCAGACTCACAGCAGATCTCTCAACTGAAACCCTACAAACTAGAAGAGAGTGGGGGTCAATATTCAATATCCTCAAAGAAAAGAATTTTCGACCCAGAATCTCACATCCAGCCAAACTAAGCTTCATAAATGAAGGAAAAATAAAATTTTTCACGAATAAGCACTCAGATTTCATCACCACCAGGCCTGCTTTACAACAGCTTCTGAACGAAGCACTACACACAGAAAGGAACAACCAGTATCCGTCATCCCAAAAACTTACCAAAAGGTAAAGAGTATCTCCATAATGAAGAATCTCTATCAACTAATGGGCAAAATAGCCAGCTAGCATTAAACGACAATATTAAACTCACAAATATCAATATTAATCCTAAATTTAAATGGATTAAATACCCCAATCAAAGACACAGACAGGCAATTGAATAAAAAGTCAAAACTCATTGGTTCGCTGTATCCAGATCCATCTCATAAGCAAGGACACACAAAGACTCAAAACGAAGGGTTGGTGGAAGACTTACCAATCAAACGGAAAGCAAAAAAAAAAAAAAAAAGAAAACAGGAGTTGTAACTTTTGTCTCTGACAAACAGACTTCAATAGTAACAAAGACTAAAAGAAACAAAGGACATTACATGATGGTAAAAGGATCAATGCAACATCAGGAGTCAATGATCATAAATATATATGCATCCAATATAGAAACACCCAGATACGTAAGACAAGTTCTTAATGACTTATAAAGAGACTTGGACTCCCACATAATAATAGCAGGACACTTTGACACCACATTGTTAATTTTCAACGGATCAATGAGACAGAAAATTAACAGGGACATCTACGATTTGAACTCAGACCTGGAACAAGTAAACTCAGTGAATATTTATAGAATTCCTCACCCCAGCTCCACAGAACATACATTTTTCTCAGTATCATATTACACCTATTTTGAAAGTGACCACATAATTGGAAGTAAATCACTCTTCAGCATTTGCATAGCATTTCACAGACTTAAATAAAATATTGGTTGGCTGCTATTTTCTTCCCCTATTCCTTCCTGTCTCTGCTGTTAAGCACAATTATCGGCATAAAAGAGGCTTTTAATACATATTTTTAGATTGCATTCCAGCCTGGGCAATAGAGCAAGACTCCTGTTCTCTCTCCCCCTTTCTCGTTTTCTTTCTTTCAAAAAAAGAAAAAAAAAAAAAGAAAAAAAAACAGGGGTTCACTTAATCCAGGAGGCAGAAAATATAGATGACATGTAATGCTTAAAAAATTTTTTTTTCTTTTTAAGAGGAGGTGGAAAGCCAGGTGCAGTGGCTCATGCCTATAATCCCAGCACTCTGGGAGGTCAAGGTGGGCAGATCACTTGAGGACAGCAGTTCAAGACCAGCCTGGCCAACATGGTGAAACCCTGTCTCTACAAAAAATACAAAAATTAGCTGAGTGTGGCGGCAGGTGTCTGTGATCCCAGCTATTAGAGCGCTGAGGCCAGAGAATCACTTGAACCTGGGAGGCAGAGACTGCAGTGAGCCGATCTTGCCACTCCACTCCAGCCTGAGTGGGGGAAAAAAAAAAAAAAAAAGAGGTGGGAGAGAGAACAGGATAGTGGCAGGGAGAGAAGAAGGCTGACCCTAGAATCTTGATAGACATAGCCTCAAATTCATTTGACCACAAAGAAAAACAAAAGTTTCTGTGCTTCACGAGGAATATGCTGAGCCCAGCAAGGGCGAGAGTAAGGGCCTGATCGCATCTCTGTTCTACACTGCCAAGGTCTCGACAAATGTTTAATCAATCGTATTAGCCTAACACAATACGTATTGCTAATAATAAAATGTTATATAATTTATTCTTGAAATGTGAACAGGCTCTAAAGATCGCTAAAGATCTAAAAAAATTGTCCTCCCTTCTTAGTAAGTGTATAAAGAACACTGGACTTCACAGGGTTTTTATTTTTTCTTTAAAACAAAAAGGCAAACTATTATTATCTCACATATCATTGCTCTTCCACTCTTTTCCACTGAATAAACATATATAATAATCTCATGCTCTGGAATCTCATCTTTAAAAACATACTGAATTTATAGACATTTTATCTAAGGGAAAAAGTCCTTATTCCTGTATTTCTCAAACTGAGCATCTGCAAACAATCTTGTGGTTCCAAGAATTTTCTCAGAGTTTCTCAATTGTATTTTTCTTTGGAAAACCACCTTATAACCAAGAACTACCAAGATTAAGTACCACACTTGATGCCCAATACTACTGGAGCCTCAGGGTGTCACTTTACTACTCATAGTTTCTAATAATAACAGAAGTGGATCCATTAGTAAATGATGTTATTGTATACAATATAAATCAAATGATATCCTGATATACCAGATGAATAATCAAAGTTGTCAACAGTTCAAACCGGACGTGGGAAGCTGAGATGCACAGCAGAATGGATTTGCCAAACTAGTAAGAGCTTTTGACTTCAATGAGATCTATATTCAAGTTGCAAATGACAGTTTAGTTACAGGACATTTGTCACATTAAATTACATTTGTTTTTCATTTACAAATTTATGCAACTTTATAAGTTGCATGACAACTTATAAAATGTTCTTATGCTATAGCTTCTTATGCTACAGCCATAAGCAGTTTATGTACAGTTGCAACATTTGAATAAAAATAAATCAATATTGGGGTCTACACGAATTTTTTTCCTTTGAAAGAGAAAGAAAAAACCGTCAAATTGAAACCTTGCCTTACACAAGATTACTATATGCTGAGCAAATGTTTTACTTACTTTACTAAATCCAAGTTTCCATGGATGCGTACCTAAAATCTCTTCTATCTCTTTCAAGACCTGTTTAGAACCTGAACTTATGAGCCATTTAAAGTGACGAGGCAGAAGAACTGGTAGAAATTCCATTATTTTCGGAAACTGCAAAGCTGTCATTACATTTTTAAATGGAACTACAAGATACCAGAAAAGAACAAAAAACACAAATGAACCTAAAGAATGACTGATTTCAAGTACTTTCCCGTTTTGCACAACCAATTCAAGAAATCTAAGTCAAAGACAAATTAGTACATTTGCTTTAACCAGTAAGAAAATTTGATCATACTATGACAATTGCTTTTGTACTGAGATGGTTTCATTGCGTTTAACACCAAACTTTATGTTCATTAAATGCTTAAAGAATGACTTCTTAGCCTTTTGTTTCCTACTGTCTGCACTATAATCAGAACAAAAATCCTTACTCAATTATATAAAGATAAATTTAAAGCTAAGGATATAAAATAAACAATTTACACAGTAACCTTTATAATCATTTTCTATAGTCATAATCTTTTGTCACTGAAGTCATTCACTGCGGTATCATCAAATTTATTTGATACGATTAGGAAATAAAATATTCCATACATATATATGAATGCCCAGATAACAAACTATATTAAAAATAATTTGAAAACCCTTTTGGACTGAAGTAGTTCCTAAATGTATTACTCATATCCTTGTTGTTCTCCTCTGCCTCCTTAAACAGAGTAATTTACAACCGAATTTTTTTTTAAACTGAGACAGGGTCTCACTCTTTCACTCAGGCTGGAGTATCGTACATAGCTCACTGCAGTCTCCATTTTCTGGGTTCAAGTGATCCTCCTGCCTCAGCCTCCCAAGTAGCTGGGTCTACAGGTATGTGCCACCACAACTAATGTATTTTTAAATTTTTAGTAGAGACGAGGTCTCACTATATTGCTTAGGCTAGTCTCAATCTCTTGAGCTCAAGGCATCCTCCTGTCCAAAGTTCTGGTATTACAGGCGTGAGCAGCCACCACGGCCAGCAACTGAATCTTTTTTTTATTAATGATTCAAGGTAATCTCTCCGAGTACAAAAGTTAGAGAGATGAAATCATGATTTTAGAGGTGGAACGGAACTCGAAGGATCTTAAAGATCAGCTTATATAATCCCTTCACGTTACACATGAAAAATCTGAAATGCCAATGGCATACTCCAAAAGCAACATAAATACATTCTTCATCGAATAGATTTTTAAAAAGAATACTATGCTGGTAGTAATACTTTAAACATAGTAGTCATTAATCTGTCAATTACACTGAAACTTGACGATAAAAATCACACTTACCTGTGTTTTCCATAGGAAGACTCATCTCATTGTCTGGGAACAACTCTTCCTGGCCATTCTGTGCAGGCTGCTTTTGACTTTTCCTTATAGTTTCATTTCGGAAAGTTCTTAGTGTTTCCCTAAGATTTTCAAAGTTTAGGTTTCTGTAGCTTGATACTTCATCTACCCATGTTAAAAACTGATTAATATAATCACTGGGGACATTACACTCTTTAAGAAAGAGGGCACAGATATGTTTTTGATTTGGTGGTGACATATCAGACTGCAAAAAGTAAGATGGAAATCCTTGAACTTGATATTGATAGCTCCTTGATCCCACCACAGGCTTTACTTGTACCTTCACTCTCCACCAAGCACCTGTTATAGGAAAACGTCCAAACACTTTACAGTTCTCTTGTGTTTTTTCATCAGGAATTAAAACTGAAAAAAAAAAAAAAAGAAAAAAGAAAGAAAGAAAGAAAGAAAAACCCATAAAATAAATGTTAACTCTGGAAATTATTTTAAAACTGTTTCCTCCACGTTTTATCAAACTTGCCACTGTCTTTTATCTCCCTACAGCACCCTAGAAAGATGTCTGTTAGGGTGCCTATTACACTGCACTCCGCCTACCTCTTTTTCTGTTTCCCTCTACTACACTATAAATACTGGAACAGGACTGTTTCATTTGTCTTTGTATTCCAAAAGGCAACCACAGTACACAGCAGGTGTCCCCTCTCTGCTACTCTGACTTCAGCCAATACTGGCCTTCATGCAGTTTCTTTCAAATGTTATGGCCCTTCACCCAAGTTATTCCACCTGCCTCAACTGATATCCCCCTTACTGTTTACTACATTTACTACAGACCTCAGCTTAACTGTCACTTACTTAGAAATGTCAATGAATCTCACGTGTAAAACCTCTTAAAGCACTATTTGGCATTCCTTCTAAGCATTTAGTAACATTATAGTTACTTCTGTAATTATTTAAAGAATGTCTGTTTATACACTAGAGGGTAAGCTTCATTAAGATTGCAACCTTGTTATTTTATTTCTCTGGGTTTTCCAAGCACCAAACATGCTAACCAGTTAATGAATGACTAAGCTCTCCACAAATACTTGAAAATTTTCTAAAGAAAGAAAAAAAAATGCAAGCAGCTATGTTAAAGAGATGTAGTTAAAGGAAAAAAAGAAAAAAAAAATTTCTGCCTAAATCTGTGCTGTCTACCTACATGTGTCTATTTAAATTAAAATGCAATAGAACTTAAAATTTGTCTCCTCAGTTACATCAGCTGTATTTAAGTTTTAAACAGCTACATATGGCTAGTGGCTATTGTACCGACAATGCAGATATAAAACACTGCCATCATCATGGAAAGTTCTACTGAACAGCACTGGTCTGCACATTAAAATATTCTAAGTATCAATCACAAAGTACACATAACACGTATAACTTATAGCACAGGAAATTACTTTTTCAAGGTTAACCACAACCACAACGTTATTTACACCAGTTAATAATTATCTGTGCAATCATTTGTGCACTGAGGTGTTCTTTTTGTTTTGTTTTGTTTTGTTTCTCTTTTTCTTTTTTCCTTTTCTTTTTTTGAGACGGAGTTTCATTCTTGCTGCCTAGGCTGAAGTGCAATGGCGCCATCTCGGCTCACAGCAACCTCTGCCTCCTGGGTTCAAGCAATTCTGCCTCGGCCTCCCAAGTAGCTGGGATTACAGGGGTGCGACACCACGCCCGGCCCGTTTTCTTTTTCCAAGAAGCTGAAAAAGAACCACGTATTTGACTCCAGGCAATATAGGATAATAGTTACAAGTTCTGATTCTATAGAACTTGAGGATAAGTGGTTAGAAAGAAAAATAAAAGTTCTCATTCTGGGTGGAAATAGAGGCTCAATATCCACCGTTTCCTCAAGTGTAAAACTACCTCGAAGAACGGCGAATATTAAAATGATATAATTAAAACACGACAAGCGCAAGCTTAACACACAGCGTGTGTTAAAGTTACTGCTATTATTACAATTATAATTTTACCCTAAGAAGGATGAAGCAGCTAGGGCACTGAGAAGCTAAGCCTGTTAGCAGCGACTGGTGCCTTGCTCAGGGCAAAGCCAAAAGGGGAAACGCTTCGTTGGACCCTCCAGCCCTATCCCCGGGGCAGGAGGCTTCCTCACCGCGGATGCAGCCGGGGAGGCTGCCAGCCTTTACGCCCCCACTGCAGAGCTCCTCGGCGTCCACGAACACCGAGTCTTCATCCTCCTCCACGTCGTCCCTTAGGTAGTGGTCGTCGTCCTCCTCCTCCTCCACCAGGTCCTTGGGTGGGAGCAGAGGTCCCTGCAGTTGGCGCAGGTACAGGTACTGACTCGACCTGGCCATACTTCTCCCGAACTCAACTCAAACAACTGGGGAAAGCCCTGGCTGAGTGCACCGCCATGATGTCCCAAATAGTTCCACGCCTGGAAGGCCTTCAACTTCCGGGAACGCCAAGGCGGCCGCCCGCACGTGCGGGGCGGGGCGGCGCGGCAGCGAAACTCCGCCTCACGTTCCCAGGAATTGTGGGAGCACGGTGTGTGGAAGGGGCGGAGCCAGACGGGTTAGGCGCGGGAAAGTGAGCGCGGGGCGGGGAGATGGGCGGGGCTGCTACCCCGCTGGGATTCTTGGTGCCTGGCGGTGAAGACCAGGGAGGTGCCGGGCAGAGATCTGCGCTGGGGAGTGACAGGCGTGGCACCTGCAGAACCGCCAGTGCAAGGCATCTCCTGCGAAGAGAGAACGTGGAGAAAGTCCACTTCTGCTGAGCCTCAAGGACCCGGAATAGCAAGCCCTACCCCAACCTCCCCAAAACGAAAGTATAGCAGATGTCCTTCTGGAGTCAGATCGAGGGCAGGGACCCAGGATTCTGTCTTTTTAATGTTCGTTCCAGGCTGTCCATTTTGATGCTCAGCTAGATTTGGACACCACTGGATTACATAGCATTCAAACTTCTTTTCATCCTTTCCTCTGTGAGTGCACCCTGGTCTCCCAAACTTATTTAAGCTGGGCTGCTACCTGCTGTTGACACTGGAGAAAAAGTATTTCTTTGCAACCCAGAGGATAGACAAGAATAGGGGAGGGGAACTAGAAGAGAAAAGAACGTGATTTTAAAAACTATTCTGGAGCTATGACTCTATTACTTGATGGGGATGGTACTTGAAAGTCTTGATACTCTTTAAGAAATACCATAAATAGATTACTACAGTATTGATACTGTTTATTTTATGATTATTCTCTTAATAATAATCCTGAAATAACTAAACATACACTATTTACTAAATCCAAAAGCATCTTACGCTATATCTAAATATAGGTAAAAGTCACACCAAATATTTAAGAAAAATATATAGGAGAAAATACAAAAATTGATTTTTTCCCTTTAAGTAACAATTGACAAATGCCTACTTTTGTTGCTTTTAAAAGAAATACTGTTGCTGCTGAAAAACACCAGTGTTTCCAAGGATTGGCTATATAAGGTTGAATTCCTTTGACATTCACATGACTACTGTTTCCACCACAACATTGAATCTCCCCCTTACTACATTTGCTACAGACCTCAGCTTAACTGTGTGACGAATGTCACACTTACTGTCCTCTTTGTTTCAAAACCGAGGGGATGCTTTTCAGCCTTTGTTTTACCTGACCTCTCAGCAGTATTTGATACTGATAACTATTTTCTTCTTGTAGCATTCTGCTGCCTGGGCTTTTGTGACTTGCCTTCTCAGATTTTTCTCCTTCTTCTCTACAGTCTTGGACTCCTCTGCTTGCCTCCTAAGTACTGGTATTCTCCAAGGCTCCATCCTAAGCATCTTCTTGCTCTATAATCCTTTCCTCAATCATTCTTCACCTACATGCTAATGACTCAGCCTAATCTGATCTCCGAATCATTCAAGTAACTGCCTAAAACATTGCCAGTCACTGCTGGATGCCCCTGACTCAGCATATCTAAACTGCAACATATCAGCTTCCCAAATCTGGGTCACTTTTGTGTATATACATGGGATATTCTTGCTACCAACATGCTGACTTGGACACAAGACTCGACTCTAGATCTCTAGATGTTTCTTCTTTTTTTTTTTTTTTTTTTCTTTTTGAAGATGAAGTTTCACTGTTGCTCAAGCATGTCTTGAACTCTTAAACTCAAGTGATCCTCCTGCCTCAGCCTACCAAAGTGCTAGGATTACAGTCATGAACCACCACACACAACACAGGTGTTAAACTCCCCCTACTTTTTTTTTGAGACAGGTCTATAGTGGTGCCATCAAAGCTGACTGAAGCCTCAACTCCCAGCAGGCTCAAGTGATCCTCCAACATCAGCCTCTCAAGTAGCTGGGACCACAGGCCTGCACCACCATATCTGGCTATTTTTTTTTTTTTTTTGTATTTTATTGTAGCAATGGGGCTTCACCATATTATCCAGGCTGGTCTCGAACTCCTGAACTCAAGTGATCTGCTGGCCTTGGCCTCCCAAAGTACTGAGATTACAGGCATGAGCCACTGCACCCAGCCACTAGATGTTCAGCTTCTATTCATATAGTTCAATCGCATTTTATTGGATAGTGTAGGAAGAAGTTTAGAATGGTAAGAATCTTACCTCTTCACAGTTTTCTTATTCTTTAAAAAAAGTTAACAATTCTGGCTTTCTGGAGACCATTTTTACCATACACAGTAAGCACTGGTACTCAAACCTGAATGTGCATCAAAATCACTTGGGAATGTGTTCTAAAATTGAGATCCCTGGATCTATCCTGAAGCTATAATTCCCAAAACACAAAACAACATAGACATAGGTTATCCACTGTCTGGTTTTTGTAATAGCAAATGATTGGAAGTAGCAGAGATGTTCAACAGCAAAAGACTAATAAAATAAATTGTAGTACATCCATGTAAGGGAGTATTCTTCAGCTAATTTTTATAATAAAAAAAGAAAAGAAAGAAAGATTGCTACAAATTTGTAGGGAATAGTTTCCAAGATACTAGTATTAAATAAGAAAAAGCAATATGTAAAACAATGCATATCATTTTATTTGTATGTGTGAGTGTTGCGGGGGAAAAAAGCACAGGAAATATAAACCAGAAGTTAATGAAAACAGCCAGGAATGGTGACTTGTGCCTCTAATTCTAGCACTTGGAGAGGCTGAGGTAGGAGGATTGCTTGAGCCCAGGAGTTTCAGACCAGGTTGAGCAACATAGCAAGACTCTGTCTCAAATAATAATAATAAGTTAGCCAGGCACAGCGGCATGTGCCTGTAATCCAGCCACCCTGGAGGCTGATCTGAGAGGAGTGTGTGAGCCCAGGAGGCTGAGACTGTAGTGACCCATCATAAGAAGAAGAAGAAATTGATGAAAATAGTTACCCACAGAAGGGATGAAAACAGGATAGGACAGACAGGGGATAGGAATGAGATCTCTGAGATTAACTTATTATATAGTTTGGCTTCTGAATCATGTGTCTTACACATTCAAAAAATAAATAAAAGAAGCAAAAGCAAAACAGAAAATTGAACACAAACGGAAACAAACAAATCTATCAAGTGAATTGCATAACTGCTAAGAGACAATGATTATTTCAAGTTATGTTTAAATATTTTGGATAAACATTTTAAGTTACTTTAACTATATACCCCTAGTAGTTATACTCTGAAGACAAAAGATCTACAAAATGACCTTAAACATCACTCATTATGATTAATGTTTGTTGTAATATTGTTATTGTAATTTTGAAATTATATATTGTAGGATAAAGAAAATAAGTAAATATATCATATTTTATCAAAGGTTTTAAATGTACATGGAAAGAAACACAAATATAAAATAAAATAAGTTGGGAAAAAACCTCCTACAACATTAAACTGGAATTGAAAATATCAATATGGGCTTGTGATTTCTTAAAATGTATTTTCTAGTTCTGTGTACCAAAAGGACCTGAAAGCAGTATCACCCCAGGAACTCTGATCACACCCACCATCTCAATTTTGTTTGTTTGTTTATTAGACAGGGTTGTGCTGGAATTCAGTGTCACAATCATAGCTCACTGTGACCTTGAACTCCTGGCCTCATGTGATCTTTCTGCCTCCCCCTTCCCAAAGTGTTGGAATTACAGCTCACTGCACTCAGTCTAATTTTGGTTTTGGAATCTAGGTGATTTTGTGTTTTCTAAAGCAAGGACCAGCCAGGTGTAGTGGCTCACGCCTTTAATCCCAGCACTTTGGGAGGCTGAGGTGGGCAGATCATTTGAGGTCAGGAGTTTGAAACTAGTCTGGCTAACATGGTGAAACCCCATCTCTACTAAAAATATAAAAATTAACTGGGTGTAGTGGTGTGAGCCTGTAACCCCAGCTACTTCGGAGGCTAGGGCAGGAGAATTGCTTGAACCGGGGATATGGAGGTTGCAGTGAGCCAAGATGGTACCCCTACACTCCAGCAAAAATAAATAAATAAATATGAGGAAAATTTTAGTATCAAAAGGAATAATGACTGCACTTGATTATAGCATACTGAGTAAATAAAATTGATGTGTTAATTGTGATAGTTAAAAAAAAAGAATGAAATGCCAGTTAATAGAAATTTTTAAAGAAGAAATTCTAAAAATAGAAACCAACATTTTTGCAACCCCCAGTGTAATAACTGATTCAAGCAAGTATCACCAAAGGATACAAGCACCATTGGGGAACTGATAGTCTCATGGTAGTAGTAGATTATGAACTGCAAAGGGAAAAATGTACCTATACAGTAAAGGTACTTATCACTCACCCCTTAATCAAGTTATGAAACACAGTATCAATAATGGGACACAGCTGATAGTATTTCATGCTATGATGCAATAAGATATACGTAAGATTAGCTATTAAGTATTCTTATCAAAAGTATTTAACCTGATTTTAATCAAGTCTCTAGATCAGTAGTTTATCTGATAGAGATATAAAATGAACCACATATGTAATTTAAAAGTATCTAGTGGCCACATTGAAAAAAGAAACAGGTGACATTTTAATGATACATTTTATTTAATGCCAGCATATTCAAAATATTATTTCAAGATGGTAATCAATATAAAAATTATTAACTAAAATGTTTTACATTTTTTCATCCTAAGTCTATAAAATCTGGTCTGTATGTTACCCTGTAGCACACTTCTATTTGAACTAGTCACATTTCAAGTGCTCAAAATCCATGTGTCTAGTGACTACCATTTTGGAGAGCACAATTGTAGACCTAATTTCTGATTTCCCCAAATCCAAGGAAGTGAGGTACCAACTAAATGATACCATAAGGAAACAGAAAGATCTAGAACAAAAGTGAGAAAATATTCTTTTGCAAAGGGACAGATAGTAAATATTTCGGGCTTTGCATGCTAAATATGGCCTCCATCATTCCTCCACCTCCTCCTTCCTTCTCTTCCTCTTCTTTTTTAATAATCCTTTAAATATGTAAAGCCTATTCTTAGCTCTAC